TTCTAATCACTAAGTATGATGCTCTTGGCCTCATTCTGTATCCGATATAGTCTGTCTGTGCACGGCTAGGAGCCAGAATTGTCCGATCGTACTCTACAGAAAAGACTAGATCCTGGTATAAGAAAAACAGGTGACGTTGCTCGCAGTTTGTCGCAGCCATAATCCTTAACACCGTCAAACCTCCCGTTGCCTTCATTATCACGTGGTTGAGATACTCATAAAAAGCAAGACTATGATCAAAACACACTCCGAAATACTTTATTTAACGAGTTCTCTCCATCATCTCTGAAGACAAGCTTACAGTTGGTGTTAGTGAGTATATAATATGGTTACACAACTTAAACAATGTCACTGTCACCTTTGACACATTGACGACCCTCCCACTTCCTCGCGTCACCTGCTTTTGCGGTCAAGTTCTGTCTGAAGACCCTCAGCAACCTGCTCCCGGTCTCTACCTTGACGGTACACCAAAACATCATCAGCATAGTCGTGGAGCGGTGGAGCCTCCTGTACCAGTTCTTCCAATTTGGGCGCTATCACCCCATTAGTCTACAGATGGCAGTGTATTATATTAGACTGGGCACAACAGATTTCGCAAACATATGTTCAAATTTTTCAGTGTAGGAAACACGGAGACGTGTCCCTGCAGCGTGGCACCCGTAAATGCTGCACATGTGCTCCAACACTGTCAACTATATGCTGACAACAGAGACGCTATCTGGCCTGTTCCAACCACAATGAAGACAAAACTGTATGGTACACGAGAGGATATGGATTGCACGATAGCTTTCATAAAGGCTACCGGCCTCCTGATATAAGTTTTCTGACAGAAGGATCCAAGAAGAAGAAGATCCCCATTAGGCATGTTGGGACAGTTAAGGAGAAAGAAGCTTAATCGGTCTAATTTGTGAGGCGTAGGGACGGGCTAGTGGGGGGTAAGAGCCTCATGTGCACTTAGGGCAATGACTAAACGTGCGGCAGCCGGGGTGACAGAAGTGTGATAGAATACAGGAGAATAAGAGAGGTTTTTTTATCTCTTTGTGTGTGTGTGTGTGTCAGTTGCGTATCCTTTACAGACTTTGCAGACCCAACCACATAATTTTTTTTTCTTTGGTTTTTGTGGTTTTTATCAGCAATTTTTTACGGTCAGTAGTTTGATATTGCTCCTGATTGGTCATCTCTCGGTACCACTGTCGAAATAAGCGCAAGACAAGTCGCCCGCAGCTGCGATCGAACCCGACACCCAGGCATTACGAAGCGCGTTCGCAACGCCTAAGCCACAGACAATAAGAAAGAAGGGGAACCTTCTCTGGTGATCAGAAGTCTCCAGTGGTATCAGTAGTAGTAAACAGTAATAGTAGTTGCCGTAGTAGTAGCAGCAGTAGTTATTGTAAGGATAAAACGAGTACTGAAATGTGATATCCAACCTGTTCTGTTGTATGGCAGTGAATCCTGGAATGTGATCAGACAGATTAAGAAGAGTTTAGAGGCAGCTGAGATGTGGTTCTTGAGACATTTGTTGCGAATACCTTGGATTGCCAGAATAACTAACAATGAATGCCTAGAAATGGCTCATGAAAGTAGAACATTATATACAACAACGAGCAAACTAAGTTCTTTGATCATATGATGAGAAAAGGAGCACTGGACAATATTGTGACTACTGGAAAGATCATTGGTAGAAGAGGCAGAAGCAGACCAAGAGAAATGGTAGTGGATGGCTTAAGACAGTGGCATGGAGGAATATCATCAGTGGAATTGATCCAGAACACTAAAGACCGAGATCTGTAAAGATGCATCAACGTCTACGCCAGCTGGCAGGCACTAGATGACGATGATGAAAGAGAAAAAGAAAAAGAAAAAGATAACAAGAACAAGAACAAGAAGAACAACAATAAGAACAAGAACAAGAAAAAAAGAGAAGATAAGAAGAGGTTGAGGGGAATAGACAGTCGAACAAGTAACCATTTAAACAGATAGAGGGTAGGAAAGACAGAAAGGAAAGAAGAAAACGAATCAAGGAAGATAATAGGAATGTGTGGCTTGTAATCGTTACGGCATAGCTCATATAGCTATTTCTATGAAGCCAATATTATATTACAAAGTTACTGTTTTCCCTTACCCTTTTTGTTACAGATATTGACGAGTGTAACAAAACCAGCACATTCACCTGCCCAACAAACAGTAACTGCACAAACACACCTGGAAGTTACACGTGCTTGTGTATCAAGGATACAAGACGAACAATGATGTCTGTGAAGGTAACGCCTGACAGTTATTAGTCGTTCTGCTTTGGACGGGTCAACTCACCCTAAATTGGAGACCATGTAAAGTCCTGGGAAGTAAGGCGGCCGGTATGTTGCTGACCGTCTCACCCATCAGGTGCCGATAAGTCTAAAAAATAGCATAGGGTGTAGCATCAAATGCCTTGGTTAAAAAATTAGTTGCGTATCCGGATAAAAACTGCATTTTATAAAATAAAGAACATCTTATGCAATAATTTTTTGTCATTGGGGGTTAGAAAAATAATTCCTGCTTGCTACATACATCCAGTTTTAACATGGCTGTGAGTCCTGGACAATCGGTAACCAGGCCAAACAATTTTCTTGATGCGTCAAGGATGTGGTTTTAGAGAAGAATGCCAAAAAGAGCAACCAAAAGGTTTTGACAGAGGCGGGAGCCCGAAGACAACTAGTCTCAGACATCAGAAGTAGACAGTCAACATTTTTTGGCCATGTTATGAGAAGACCTGACCTGAACCCAGGCCCTCGGATCCGCAGGCAAGCATCTAGCTGCTAGACTACAGTGGTTCCCTATATATCAATAGCGGTAATGGTAATAACCGAGTGCTTATGACATGTAGATTTTGACGAGTGCAAGAGCAGTATACAGTTAATGTCTCCACCCTTCCTTCTGTTCCAGATATTGACGAGTGCAAGAGCAGCATACAGTTAATGTCTCCACCCTTCCTTCTGTTCCAGATATTGACGAGTGCAAGAGCAGCATACCGTTAATGTCTCCACCCTTCTTTCTGTTCCAGATTTTGACGAGTGCAAGAGCAGCATACAGTTAATGTCTCCACCCTTCCTTCTGTTCCAGATATTGACGAGTGCAAGAGCAGCGTACAGTTAATGTCTCCACCCTTCCTTCTGTTCCAGATTTTGACGAGTGCAAGAGCAGTATACCGTTAATGTCTCCACCCTTCTTTCTGTTCCAGATATTGACGAGTGCAAGAGCAGTATACAGTTAATGTCTCCACCCTTCCTTCTGTTTTGACAGTGCAGATATTTGACGAGTGAGTAAGAGCAGCATAGAAATGGTCAGTTGGACCCGTTAATGTCTCCACCCTTCCTTCTGTTCCAGATATTGACGAGTGCAAGAGCAGTATACCGTTAATGTCTCCACCCCTTCTTCTGTTCCAGATTTTGACGAGTGCAAGAGCAGCATACCGTTAATGTCTCCACCCTTTCTTCTGTTCCAGATATTGACGAGTGCAAGAGCAGTATACCGTTAATGTCTCCACCCCTCCTTCTGTTCCAGATATTGACGAGTGCAAGAGCACTAGCGCGTTCACCTGTCCTACACACAGTGCCTGCAGTAATTCACGGGGAAGCTATATTTGCCTCTGCGATGGAGGATACAAGATGACCAGTAATGTCTGTGAAGGTAACAAAGTCCATACCTTTCCTGTTTATATCCCTACACAATCGATTGATCTATCTTTGTCCTCTGTGTTGCTACCTGTAAGTTTACTGTACCCTGGTGAGATTTAACCATCCCCTGTCTTGACGACAAACACAGAAAACTTAAGATCTGCAACTCCTGTAGGATGATTCCAGTGCCAGCTTACGGATGCGAGTAGTGGAAAGCAACGGTAGCTCTAGATAACAAAAATTAGACCTTAAGTACATACTTACTTAGTCGCTCCTCTTCTACCATGGGGGTAGAGGTTTGCCAGAGAGATCGCCAGACTTGGCTATCAGCAGTTTTACAAAAAATCGACAATTTTGAGAACATTTATCTTAGAAGAATACTAAATCTCCACTGGAGAGATTTCAGATCCAATACGCAAATACGAGAAGAGACCAAGCAAGATAATGTATCCAATTGTATATAAAAAAAAGCGTCACTGGAACTACACCGGCCATGCACTCAAAATGGATAAGACAAGAGTCCCCCACCAAGCCCCCATATGGACACCGGAAGGAAAAATAAAACAGGAAAGACCAAGAGAGACTCTGTCGCTGGAGTGGCTAGATTTAATAGCTGTCGAGGACACTTGGATGATCCCGGGAATTGAAGTGCAACGGTACTGGTTTCAGAGCACCATTTGCACATCCAAAAGATGTTGTCTGAACATGTCGGCCAGCCGTAGACCCGTTTAACCAATTTATTTCATGCCACATCTCTTACAGTTGATGGCATAAATGACATTCGGCTTGTACAATAGAATGCTTCACGTATGTGGAAGGTGAAATTCGGGAATTTTCTAGACTAGTCCGCTGGACCACATATGGACAGGTTCTGCATACAGGTCTGTGGCAAGAGACCGTGCCGAAGTGGGACTCAGACGCGGGACGTAAACGACTCTTGACTAGAATGTCCTTGAGGTTATAGTCATGCCTGTAGGCCACTAGAGGAGGTTCAGAGAAGATGGTGGCAGGGTCGGCTTCAAGGATGAAAAGATGCCTGGGGAAAATATTTTTGGCCCGGCCTTTTGGGAAGTCGTCCTTCTCGGGCATAGTTTGGGGAAAGGGTAGAATTTGGGGAGAAAGGAACTGAAGGGGGGAGGGGGAGGACTGTGTAAGGAAAGCGTGGGATCAGTAGGCTTGTAGTCCAAAGGGGTCTGAGGCTTAGTTTTTAGGGTGACAGGAGATCCAAAACACCCACGAAGGTGAATGCTAGAAGTGCATCGGTACTGGAGAAAGAGAGAAAAATTTATAATTCTGCCTTATGGGGGGGCTACAGTTACACCGATGCAACACCACATACCCCTGAGAGCTCGGGGGCCTACCCCTATTGCTTACGTATCGAAAGAGCGAAAGAATGAACGAACAAACTTTTTTTTTCAAAGGGTTTCAAAATGGGCCGCACCCATTACTTTGTTTTGGTGGTCTGGGGCCCCCTAAGAGGCAGGCATAGCGGGTCCCCTCGTGGCCCCCCAGCGACGCCCTATTGGTTTTAATATGGCCCTTAAACTCTAATGATTTTGAGGAGACTAACCCGGCCGACGAATCAAGGGTCAGGGTTGGGAGAACGACCTGATCTAAAACGAAACCCCAAAGCCTGGGGGGCCCCTCCAATTGGACAAGGTGCAGAGGGAGGGAACATTAAGGGGAAAGATGTGGTACTGAAAAAAGGTGAAGGATAGATTGAAAGATAGAGATCATTGTCGGTGCGAATTTCCGGTCCCAGAAAAGTCCCCAATTAAAACAATGAAAATTAAAACCGCTTTCGCCGAGAATGTATTAACCACTTCCTGGGGAGGCATCTTGGATCCCGGGGTAAAAGTCCTCAAAGGTCCACTTTAATAAATTTGCTTCCCGGGGGTCCCGGGGAAAGCGTCCCCAAGGATTTCCCCGTCCTCCCTTCGGACTAAAACTCAATGTTGACAACAATATTTATAACAACGTTATATTTTTTTGACGTCTTATTTGTCACTCCCTACCGGTGGTTCGGGGGCAATTCGCACGCGACAGCTTTTCCCCCCC